GCTCTCCAGTTTTCGGTACTCAAAGGCTGTTGGGGTCCAGGTTGGTGAGCCACATGGGGAACACCAGCATCATCATCATCATCATCATCATCATCATCGTCATCATCATCGTCATCGTCATCATCGTCATCGTCATCGTCATCGTCATCGTCATCATCGTCATTATCGTTGTCATCGTCGTCATCATGATCATATGATCATCATCATCATGATCAGGCCTGTTACATCGTCAACACCCAAAATACTCGCCACCATGCACAGCAGGGGCAGCCAGCCACGACATGAATGGCTGCTTTGCTGATACAGGTTTTCTCACCTCCTCCCACAAGGTTTCCCATAAGGAGTCCGCAAGGGATCTGCGCAGATTGTAGCGGGGCTCCTTTAGCGGTTCTCTGCCTTAGGGCCTATAGGGTTTAGCGTTTCTGGCTTTCGGTTCAGGGACAAGGGCTCGAGGCTTTAATGTTAGGGAGTAAGTGGTTTAATTAGGGATTCGGGGTGTAAAGAATTGAAGAGTTTATGGTTTAGGTGTGTTAGGGTATTCTTAGAGCGTGTTGGATGCAGCTGCACCCGCATACGCAGTTCCTGACAATGAGTTCCGTGTCTTCTCGTCGTAGTGCACCAACTGCAACAAAAAAGTATATTGCACTTCCGGCACTAGGCAGGTCTTTCTTTTAAACAGCGGATATCGCTACAAATAACCAGCGCCAACACATCAAAGCCCTGTTGTCTTGAGACTGTTGCTCTTCATGGCCTTTTGATCTGGCTGTTAGCTTAGACATTGTCTTCAATATGTTGTCTACTTGCGCCGTTGCTACATTTGTTCACACCCGAGACAGACCGCAAAGAATCGTTTGACGCCCCAACCGTAAACCTTTAACCCTTAACCCAAACCTCGAACACAGGGTCCCTATAGTAAGTAGGACCAGGCTGCGGAGGTCGGTTATAGTTGCAAGTACCAGAGGGTACTAAGATATTCATGATTGCGACACCTGCAGTTCTTAACGCCCCGACCGTCTTTGCCTCCTGGGATTCCCCGGAACTCTCAACTCCTAAACCCTAAACCCTTACGCCCGTAAAACCGTAAACACCCACTCCCCAAGTAAGTAAAACCTTGAGCCCTCAACTCCTTATAACCCAAACCCTATAGGGCTTAGGGTTTAGGGTTAAACCCCAAACCCTAAACCCAAAACTTTAGGGTTCAGGGCCTAGCAAAAAGTCACCCCAAACCCCGGGAAGCCGAAAACCTGAAACCCTCAGACCCGAAAGGCCCTCCCCTTTGCCTCTCCGAGGCTTGGATCTCCATCCGGTTGGCGCTGGCCTTTGTCGAACTTTTGGGGTTTAGGGTTTGGGGGTTTAGGGGTTTAGGGGTTTAGGGCTTAAGGTTTAGGGTTTAGGGTTTGCGGTTTAGGGTCAGGGTCACGAAGCCCTCACTGCTTTGTTGCTGTCTGTTGTTGTGTGTTTCTGTGTGTAGGCTCTTGTTTTGAAGGGTGTTTCATGGATGGACGGCTTTTTGTTAAGCTGGCGTTGGTATGGATGTTGTGCGTTTGGGGTGTTTGAGGCTTCAAAGCCTGAAGCCCTAAACGCGAATGTTTGCTCTTTGGTGTTCAGGCTTGTTTTCTGGCTTCTATGTTGGAGGCAGTTGGTCTTCTGTTCAGGGTTTAGGCCTTTTGGGCCTTAGAATCGGAAATCCGGAGCTGTGGACTAATCGGGTTTTAGGGTTTATAGGGTTGTGGAGTTTAGGGTCTATTCAATATAGGGGCTTAGAGTATAGTTTTCTCGCAGCCTGCTTGTCCTTGCCATGAGTGGTGCCTGTTGCTGCTGCTATATAGCTACAGTTTTCTTGCCATTCCCAGCATTTGCTCAAACTCGGTGACTGCTTACAAAGCCCTTCCACAATCCTAAAACCCGTGAACAACGCCGAAATGTTGGCTACTTGGACCCAGAAGGGTTCTTTAAGAGGGCTCTTCTAAACCCCAAACCCCCCTACGCCTTTTTGAGGGCTCCTGAAACCTAAGGGTCCATGTACATTAATAGTATATACTTAGACCTTGAAGGGGTTGCTATGAATTAATTAGGGCCAATGTATATACCATCTGGGTACATGGACCCTGAGGGTTAAATCTTTCCCAAACCCTATAACCCCAAAACCCTCAGATCCTAACCCCCAAACCCTAAACCCAAACCCCTATGTGCATCTTGAAGGGCTCTCTTAAAGGCTTTCAAGTGTTCCTCTGCATGGTAAATCAAACCCCTGAAGCCTGAAGCCTAAACCCCAAACGCCTCTCTTGAGGGCTCCTTACACTCCTTTCAAGGGTTTCTCAAGGGCGAAACAAAACCCTAAACCCAATAAGCCCCAAAATGCCCTCAACATCTTTGTGTTCATGGCTCCTTTCCTCTCAAGCGCTCCCCGTAGGGTAATACCCCTAGGCTTCCAAGAACCTTCTGTAGTTGGGGCCCTATCTATAGACCCCTTGAGGAACCATTTTTGAGGTCCCTGGAAGCCCCCTAAACCCTAAACCCTAAAAACCCTAAAGGGAAAAACCAAAGAAAGGCGATCCGCCTCGGCCTCCACAGCCATGGAGCTAAGCCTGAGCACAAGGGAGTTTAGGGGTTTAGGGGGTTAGGGTTTAGGGTTATAGGGTTTTAGGGGTTTTAGGGGTTTAGGGGTTTAGGGGTTTAGGGGTTTTACGGGTTTAGGGGTATAGGGTTTTAGGGGTTTTAGGGGTTTAGGGGTTTAGGGGTATAGTGGTTTAGGGGTTTAGGGTAAACGCAAACATGGAGACCAGGCAACTCGGTTTCTTTGTGACTCCCACGCCCGCCTGCCGGTTCAGGTCTCAAAAATGGCGAACACAAAAACATGGTCCAAACAGGTGAATAAAAGGTAAAGGCCAGTCGCAGGGCATGTGATCCGGGCATTCCCACACACCTATCCTTTGCTTGGCCTTCACCTGTTGTTTCACATGCTTTGTTTTCACCTCTTTTCCACCCGTTCTAAATGTAAAGGAAAACTATAGTGATGCTCGCCCGCCAGCCCGCCTGCTTGCCCCGGCGGGTGGGCGGACGTGGGAGTGCAGGAAAATCCGAGTCACGTGATGTGTGCCTGGTCTTCACCGTGTTCACCTTTTCGTTGACTCTTGGGAGTTCCAGCTTCAGTGAGGTTTATTTTCTTTTAAAATACTAGATTTTTTATTTTTGTCTCAAACGGGCTGTTTGGGGCCCCTCCATCGGAACGGTCCTTCTAGTAAGACTAGGATCTTGGGGCTTGGGATTGAGGATTTTAGGGCAGTTCAGGGTTTAGGTTTTAGGACCTTGGTGTTCAGGGTTTAAAATCTTAGGATTTAGGGCCTAGGATCTTCGTAGGATCTTACGGTTCAGGGGTTAGGATCTAGGATCTTCGAGTTTGGGGTTAGGATCGGATCTTAGGGTTTTTAGGGTTTGGGATATATGGGTTCAGGGTCTGGGATCGTGGGGTCTAGGGTTCAGGCTCTTCGGGTTTAGGGTCTAGGGCTTACGAGGTTGGGTTATAGGGTTTGTTTAGAGGTTCAAGGAAAATCGCCTTCGGCCAAAGATTGGGCATAGCTTTGATAAGGCATTCGGGTTTAAGGTTTAGCAGGCTAGGTTTAGGGTTAAGTAGTGAAGCCAATAGATCATTCCCTGCGGAAACCCCCTTCTTCTTATAGCGATGCCGGGAGGCAACGTGAAACCTTTATCCACGACTTTCCATGCAGGGCCTCATGCAATCCCTAAGCTGCGTTTCCAGGTCAATATGCAATCTACGGCTTTACTGGCTTCTAGGCAAACTCAATTAAGAATTTGCACGAGCTCCTCTACGCGACACCCCAGCCAAGTAAACGCAGAATCCAAAGCCCCAAAACCTCAATCCAAGATTTAAGCCGCACACCTAAACCCTAAACCCTATAAACATCAAAGGCAAACACCAAATCCTGAAAGCAAGCCCCAAACCCGAAGCCCAACAATCCTAAGACCGCGGCAAACAACCCTTACACAGAAGCAGACACCACTTGCCCAAAACTTCCGTAACGTTGCGGAAAGTCTTAAGTTACTCGGAACACGTTTACAAAGCGCCGAAAAATCCTTGCCTACGCCTAAAGACCCCAAAGCCAACATCAGCCGAGAGGCCCAGCACTGACCGCGCTTCGGACGGAGTCCGACTGTGAGCAGCGCTCTGCTGCACCACCGAGCACCTGGGCGTTGAAAGACGGCTTGCTGACTGTAAAGGGCTTTGGGTGTTGGGACAGGGCTTTCAGGGCTATATAATTAACCCAAGGGCTCCAGTTACCTAAATAGTAGGTTACTAACCCTATACTATGTACCCCAGTAACCTACTATTTAGGTAACTGGAGCCCTAGGGTAATTAAGGTTTAAGTCAAAAGTTCTCCCCTAAACCCTAAACCCTAAACCCTAAAGTTCTCGAAGACCCTCAAACTGAATCCTGAAGCCTCAAACCCTGAACTCTGCGGGCCATACGCGTCAACCGTAGCCTCACACAGAAAAATCTAATGCCTAGGGCTCCAGTTACCTAAATAGTAGGTTACTGGGGTACATAATATAGGGTTAGTAACCTACTATTTAGGTAACTGGAGCCCTTGGGTAATGCCATGCTATAATTCCTATGAAGTCTCAAATAAAAGAAACTTCGAACTCCTACGCGTGACAGTATCACTTGTCACCCCATACGAAGCTCTATTACACCCTGACGAAACCGGACAATGCCGCAAACCCCGCTCCCTTCAACAAAAACACCGGCTGATCATTGCCAGTGGCCGAAGCAGCCTGACCGGCCGCCGACATCGTAATGTCCACGGCTGCCTTTGCATGTGTCGTTGGTGGCTCTGTCAGGGCCTTCGTTTCTTGTCACCAGGGTATATGGGCTTTATAAGCGCTTAGAGGAATATGCCAAGGGTGTTGTGATTCTTCATAACCGGCTCATGCGGACAGAGACGGGTGTAGAATGGTGTATGAAGGAGGCTTTTTGTGTGTATGTCTGTATGCCTTTGTGAACGCACTCATGCATCCTGCATACATGAACATGCAGATCTCGGATTTGCGTATGTGTACTTCGCTGTGTGTCTGTGGCTCTGAAACACGTTGTCTGTCTACGGTCTACCTTACGAGCATAAGCAGTAGGACATATATGCAAGTATATATATATATATATATGATACATAAATGTCTATATATATATATACAGAGAGAGAAAGACAGAGTGTTGCGAAAGCTCAAGAGCTTTCCCTGATGAAACATCATCATGACCACCATCATCAACGTCATCATCATCACCACTCTCATCATCATCATCATCATCATCACCATCATCATCATCATCAACATCATTATCGCCATCATCATCAGCATCATCATCAACATCCTCCTCCTCCTCCTCCTCATCATCATCATCGCAACTGTCCCTCTGCAAGAACTCTCAGAGCAGCAGAAGCAGCAGCAGCAGCAGCAGCAGCAGCAGCAGCAGATGAAATTGCTTTACAGCTCTTCTTGATGTCTTCATAGTTTTCTTCTGTTGCTGCCGATTAATACTATGTACTATGCTACTGCATACTGTAACAATACAAACTATGTACCAGTCTAAAGATGCTTGCTTCTACTGTGACTTTTCCTCCTCCTCCTCCTCCTGCTTGTGCACAATCTATGCATCCTTACTTCCCCAAAAAGCCAGGGAAATAAAAGGTTAAACTTTCAGATTGCTACTAAGTCTTTAAAAATAACCCAGAAAGCTTAAAGGCTGGATATTGGAGGACTAAGCATCGGGCCTGCAGGTGTGGAGCCACATGCCTCGGACAGAGGCCGGGCTCGAGGGGTAAGGTGGCTTGTTCCCGCAGCCTTCGACGACACCATGCCATTGTAAGCACTCGTCTGGAACACCGCATACATCCTGAACTCTGACTACAACCCGGCCTACATGAAAACTAAACCTGAAACTTGAATAACAGGTTCATGGCAGTTGACACATGGGCGTTGCAGGCAGCTACAGTGCTTTTTCCCTAACCCTCCACGATAGCGGGTACTAGAGCCCCTAAACCCTATGAAGTAGGCACCTGGAGGGTTAGGGTTCTTGATTGCTCCTATTGTTGCGCACTCCGCTAGCAGAGACTCGAGGATTCGTCGGAGGGGTGCCGCTGGGTTTTATTCAGGGTTTAGGGTTTAGGGTTTAAGGTTTAGGGTTTCCAGTGACGGTTTCATTGCTTTTGCCAGAACACGGGCTTAGGGGTCTTGCAGGTAGTCAGCCAAGGATGACCTGATTGGACCCTCATTCTGGGCTCCTTCCTACTGCATTGGTTAAGACCCCACTTCAGCCGCTTATCCCCAAACCCCAAACCCCAAACCCTCTACCCGAGACCCCCATCAACTCGAAGCCTAAATCCTAAACCCCGGACCCTGAACCCAAAAGCCCGAAACCCTCTGCATTCAGCACGCAGGGTTTACGCATGTGGTCGGTGATTGTAAGTTTCGTGCGCTAGTGTTCCGGCGATTTAGTGTTGGTGGCCAACACCTTGCAGCGTCATGAACAAACCCTGATAACAAGCTAGAAAACCCTTACATACCACAAAACAAGCCCTAATAACCCCCACACAGAGCTACATAATGCTATAGACAAGCCCTATGAACCCATACATCGCCCCATGAGATCTAATAGGACCCTTTGGAATCGTACAACACACTATGCAAACCCTATTAAACCAAAAACCTTCTAGACTACGTATGGAACCCTCCAAACCTGTCTACCCTGATAGAACTTTTCTGGCAACCCTTGACTACTCAAACCCTAAACTCCACGAACCCGAAACCCCTAAACCCTAA